TTGTGGGGTGTTGGTAAAGATTGAGTCTTTTAGTTTTGTTCACCCTTTCCCTCTTCTCCTCGTGCAACTATTGCCAAAAATGGGAGAAAAATATTGCTTGCATCATATCTAATTAATTGTGCGTGCAATGAAAAATTTTCAGGTGCACGCTCAATTCTACCCAAATTTTAATTTATTTGAGATGGTACAACCTACAAATTACATTTCTTTAGAAAATGGTTCTCGCTTATAGCTAAAGAAATTATTCTGTGGAATTTTCCACTTTCTGAGTTACATCCCCTTTCCATTCAAGCGTTTCTGTATAATATGACAATCACTAAAAACTAAATAAAATAAATATTGTGAAGGAACACCAGAATTATTCGCAACAAGGAGCACGGTGAACGGTTAACTGTAATCTAACTTTTAATTTAGATTTTGAGTGTTAGATTCTTGTGCATCCACCACACAACTTTGGCAGGCACCGAAGCAGTAATAATACGCTATTTTAAATAAATGAAGATAAGAGCCACTAAGAGCATCTCTAATAAAACACAAATACACAAACCTCTTTCTATATTCCCAATATGTCAAAATCACCCAAAAATTTCATTCTTACTCCTACACATATAAACCTTCAATAACAACAAACCTCATAAACCTCTTTTTTATGGGTCCCACATGTTTCCCACTTATTTTTATAATTAATATTATAGTCTTATTTTTAATAAATATTTTAAAACTATAACTCTAATTTTATTTTTATTTAATCTAAATATTTCACATATTTATTATAAATACATACGAAAATAATAAATAATTGTTTGTTAATTTTACAAAATATTTTATCCGTCCAATTTCATTGTTACAATTTGCAAACCGTTGGCCACTTATGTGTGTGTATATATATATGTTATATATTGAATTGTTGTTATTATTATTATTATTATTATTATTATTATTATTATTAGATATTCTTTATTTTTTTATTGCACACTCTCATGATTTATCAAAATACTGTTTTTAACAATTAGGCTCATTTTGAATATGCTCAATACAATTGTGCCTAACTATATATCTTTACATATAATATTTATAAAAATAAATTTCTAATTAATATTAAAAGGAAGAAATAATTTTTTGATTAAGTTTAATTTAAATTAAATTAATATATATATATATATATATATGCATTATTTCAACTTCTACACTACATAATATAAATCAATTACNCTAAAAAAAAAAAGAAAAGTAAAAAAAGTAGCAAAATAAAAGTGGGGGACAACCACTATCCTGTGAGGCCATTCACTTTTTTCACCCCACTCTCCCGTGCAACACACGCACGTGGATTATGAGCATTTGTACACCACTTTATCTCTATGCATTTGTAAAATATAATTTTTATATTATTTTTTAGAGAGGTTTGAAATCAAAGAGCGGTGTTAACATTTCAAACCTCAAACCTCACTTATATAATAGAAAACTCATCAGGAGCAGGTTTTCAAACCTCAGGAAAACCTACTATAGAGATGCTCTAATAGTTGGCTCATATGCTCTCATTCCTTTTCGAATCAGATACTCTGATAATAATAGTTATAATGATAATGTCTTTTAGTGGGGTCGGTCAGCTTACAAGATTCTTGAGCTTACTAAACAAAAGAAGTGCATCTTTTGGCAATTTCAAACGGAGGTAATTAAACGTTGATACAAAAAATCTTTCTCTCTCTAGATATTGCCCTAATTTAAAAGAAAACCTAGCCCATTTCATTTTCTCCGTCGTCGCCACCCTACAACCGACAATCTGCTCCCAACCACTTCGATTCAGCTCCTAAGCCGAAGGCGAGTCACTTGGCGGGTCGTCATTCTATTCCGATGCGGCCCTTTGTCTTCTCCAAGTCAGCCGTGGAGGGTGGTCGGGGCTCGTTGGCTCGCGGGCGATGGTGTCGTGGCGGGCTCCGATTGCTGTTTGGTGATAGCCGAGGCCGAGACAGGTGCTTGGCTTCCCCATGTTGCTTTTCCTGCCCTAGTGCTGGGTTCGGTTGGGTCCTCTGGTAGCGGATCCTAGCTCTGTTAGAGCGGGTTTGCGGCCTTCAGTTTGTGTTGAGGTTAGAGATAGTCTTCAGGTATTGATTCGGTGGTGGCCACTCGGTTGATTGTTGGTAACTTCGGCTGTGTTCGGGTCGTGGACTGGCTTCAGTTTAGGGGTGGTCGTTCAGGTTTTACTCGAGTGGGCTGGTCCGGAGTGCTTTCGACTGGTGGGGAGGGCCTTAGTCTATTTTGTAGTTTGTTCTATGTTTATGTCTTTGTGTGTTGTAGGTTTTTGTGTTTATCTCCTGTTGGGAGCGTGTTTTTCTCCACTTGTGGGACTTTAGTTAGTGTTGGTGGGTGTGTTGTTTAGTGTTGCTCTAGGGTAGGTTCTAGGCGACCTCCGGGTCTGTCTTCCCGCTAGATTTGGCTCTATACTTGCTTCTTTCAGCTGTTTGGTTGTTACCTAGTTGTATTTATGTGTTTTATCTATAAAGTTTCTATCATTTGAAAAAAAAAAAAAAACAGAAAGTTGAATAGAAAAGGNAAATATCTTTTCTTTTATTTTTTCAAACCGACAACGTAAATAACATTAAACTCAACAAGAGTACATCAGAATGACTAATTGATCACAAAGTCACCTTCTAGAATAAGAAAATGAGTTGAGACTACCGGGAATAGTACATGGTTTCCCCTCTACAGCCTTCAAGGCTAACGACTTACACCTCAAACAAGGTTCTTCAAAAGAAACAAAATTACAAGAGTCAAAGAAACAACAAGAGAATAAATATTATCAACAATGGCATTGACAGACACGTCACATAAAGATTTTCTGTTCAGTCTTTGGGCCAAGCATTTTCCCTCCCTGCAACAGCAAATCACAGATTCCTCCTGCTGAGCAGCCAATTCCAATATCCACCTATCTGCCCTCAAACTTGCTTCTTCCTCAGACCCTGAAAAAGCCCCAGCCTCAGACCAGATGTGCGTTATTCGCCCCTCTTTTGTTGTTGTTCCTCCAAAACCAAGCATACTAGTTGCAGTGGGAAGAGCACTGACAACAAAGTCTGACCTACTCCATTGGGAAAGTCCTCTACAATGGTATCCAAAGTTCTCAAAACAGGCCCAACTCCCAAACACTGTTTTCAATATTGCATTGTATTCCATCAACTCCTCTTTCGCCCCTTTCACTACACTCCTTTTTGCTCCACACTTTCTGAAAGATCCACAAATTTCTAGTCTTCCATAACCACCAAAGAAGGTATGTGGAAAGACTAATTTTTTTACTGGATGCATGTGATTCTGTCATTGTTGCAAATCTATTGCCACTAACGGATAAAGGATGTGCCCCTCTTTTCCAATAAATTTCATGTTACTCCTAACAGCTTCCAACACCTTCTGGCTCTTGGGCAGTTGAAAAGAATGTGCTTCAAATGTTCTTTCTCCTCCCCACACACCTTACATATTTCTTCAACTACTATTCATTTTTTCTGTAATTGTTGATATGTATTAAGGAAGTCAAACCAACATTTTCATAAGGAATTTTTTATTTTACTCTATCGAGTTGACTTGACTCAAGGAACCAACTGACCAAACCGGATGAACCTGTAAGTGGAACGAAGATCGAATGAGCTACAGATCGAGGAGTTCTCAGGTCGATGAGGACATCACATGACAAAATGAGCATCGACAAGTCGAGCTAGGGCCCTCAGATAGTCTGGTTGAAACTCGACCTAAAGACATGACTGGTGGATGGATCGACCAGAAGAGTCTTAGCGCAGAAAGCACTCTACCTCGAGGTGAATCAGGTAGGTCGTACGATTAGACCGTCTAATAAGGAAGACTTGTGGATACAAAAGAATATAATTAGGATAAGCACCACACGTGGATAGGGTCACGTGGCCTAATAGAATTAGGGAGTTGGGGCAGTACGAACGGGCAGTCAGGGTTGCCTGTCAGGGAAGTCTTAGGCAACAAAGCAACACCCCTATATAAAGGGGTGAAGTATGTCTGTTTATGCTCTACATTCTCTACACATTCTAATATACATACAGATCTTTTATATCTACTGTTCATCGTCTTCACCACTGTGGACTGACTTGATCGTCGGAGTGCTATCGCCGGAAATCCCTCCTAGCCCATTTTGTAGGTTTACGAGTAGGTCAGAACGTAGATCAGGTCGTGCGAACCCAATCCAGGTTGTTCTCACACCACCTTCCACATCTTCCTAATCTTTCTGTCACCCAAGATTGGTCAAGCCACTCTCTGGTCTTCTAACACCACAACCATGATCGCCTCATAAACACCTTTTACTGTGAAGATCTCTTGTTTGTGCCAATGCCAAATCAACTTGTCCATGTGTCCCAAATGGCTTAAAGGGAGTTTCATAATTGTTCTACAACAAAAGGATCGAAGGTTTGTTTAATAAGATCCTCATCCCACTCATAACTGCCAGATTTAACTAGTTCCCAAACCCACATGACCCTATTACTATCCTCAATAGTGACAAACAGGTTTAAAGGAGAGATGGTTTGGGATCTAAGGACAATCCCATATATGAATTGTTTTTCATCTCCCATCTGAAACCTAGCACCCAACCTTAAGGATTTTCTAGCCTTTAACCAGCTTCTCCATAGCCAAAAATCAAAATTTCTAGGCTTTACCTCAAAAAGTTTCTGAAAAGTATCTCACTTTCAACACTTCACTAACCAAAAGGTTGGGTTGAGTGATGAGCCTCCATAACTGTTTTACAATCAAAGACTCATTAAAAGCCCTTAAATTTATAAAGTTAAGACCTCCACAATTAATTTTTTCCAAGCGATAGGAATCTCATAGCATATAACCAGAAAAAAAGTTTATAACGGAAGAGTAAACTAGCTCTTAATAACAACACCAAAAGAAAATGGGAAAAACCACAACAATTTGTGGCCTAAACACAACCGTAACAAAGAGGAAAACCAACAACAAGAGCAAAGAAAAATACAAACCAAATGACACCTTTTACTCGACATAGCCAACAACATTAACTACCAAACATCAACGGAAGAAAACAAGAAAAAAAAGAGTATAGACCACTGACCAAAGGACCTAACTATACACAACTTCTCTTCATCTCCTTCCCCTTCCAATGGTGCAGCTTGATTATTCCGTCTAGCTTGCCACAACAACTCTCATAACCTCGACTTCTGATCTCCACACATTCTGGAACACCCACAGACTACTTGTTTTCCATATCCACCAAAGTAAGTAGGTGGACAGTTGGATTCTCTCCTCAGCCATCTCAGATTGATCTAAGGCAGATAGCCACCACCACTAGTAGTCTCTACAACTCTGAACATCCTTCAATGAGTCTCCCCAGTTCAAGGGCACAAGCTTCCATACCAACTGAGCCCTGCTGCAATGAAAAAGTAAATGTTCAGTGGTAGCAATGGCATATACTATCCACCTGGAGCCCCCTCATAATCAGACTGACACCTGTTGGAAGATTATCATTGAAACATTTCCAAATAAAGTGTATGAGTTTGACTTTCACCTTAATCTTCCAGCATGTGTTTCTTGCAATCTTATCCTTAGCTGCTGACTTGATTCCTTCTACTCTATCCATAATCAACACCTTCTTAATCATCTGCTTAGCATAGGCATTTTCCATAGAGAAAAATCCTTTCTCATTACCAGTCCAACAACACCTATCCTTTTTTGCATGGTTCAAGATGTTTATCTTGAGGATCGCAACATTTTCAACTTCACCAAATAAGGTCTCTACCAGTTTTCTATTCCATCTCCTCCCACCAGCTAGTAAAAGCTCTAAAACCTTGGTAACATTTGAGGATATCATGTATTCCTGCAGATATACCAAGTACCCAAGGGTCACTCTAGATACTTATGCTCTTGCCATCAAAGACATCAATTCTGAAAAAATGTTGGTGTGAAGCTTTGACTCTCATTTAACTATTCCACATCCATGATGAGCTATTTTTCTAGCTATTAAATTTCTGAACCACCCTATCACTCACAAACCTAAAAATGTCTCTCTTGGTTCTACCTATGTAGTTANAATTTTTTTTTTTCTTTTACACTGTTGCAAAATGTTCAGTTGTCACTCAAACCAAATTGTCTACTAACATAGTTCGATTCGACCTATAAAATCTTGAGCTTGAATCACTTGTATATTTAAACGAGTCAAGCTCTAACAACAAATTAAAGTTGTCTATCAAACAAATCGAATCAAGCGCATTGAGATCAAATCAGTTAGACTTTTAGGTTTTGGTCTAGATTTTGAGGTTTATTAAATAAGTCCAACCGAGTTTATCTGAGTCGAACTCGAGCTCATATTTTTGTTAACCATCTCAAGTGATCAAAATCTGGTGTGACAGTTCTTAGTTCTTTCAAAAGCTTCCCACAGATGGCGCCAAATGATGTCCCTATAACCTAGATCTAGGTTGAACCGGCTATAAAAGACCTCTGATCTTCCCTAAGCTGCTAATTACCTGCAAAATAAGTGTTGGGGTGGTTCCCCTTGTTGGAGTTTATACTGAAAGCTTGGCTTTAGATGTATTTACACTGAACCCATTTGAATGAGAATCATGTTTAATTAGACAGTCTATGTTCTGTTGTTTTGCACTTAGATAGAGTGGATCATCATCGGGCGAACCGTAGATCATTCTATCAGTTACTTGCGAAACAAGAATAAGTGGTTCACAACCCAGATGGAAATGAACACTCCATCCGAAGGGTTGTAGTGTTAACCGTACAGTTTGTCTTGACTTATTAGTTACACTAGTACACTTTTTGTACTGAACGGATCCTAGAGAGGAGAAGTTCGTTTTATACTGATCGTTGTAAACGAACTAGACCTCGATTAGTTACTGCGTACTCTTAACCTGTAAGATATAAACAGGCATGTGCATGCAGTAAATATTACTTTGATTCACATGGGTGAGATTCAGTTTACTGGATCAATATTCTTAATGTTTTGGGTAATATTATTGTATGTACGATGTGCTGTTAGAATATTTACGGCCACCATGTACGTTAGTTTGATAATGTCCCCGAGATGAGCTCATGAAGGATTATTATGTTAAATCTGGCCAGTGGAATTTATTCCGACATAATATGTAAGAATGGTATGAGTGGTACTAGTCTCAGTTATAGATATCAATTAATTTAACTGTCAGTAATTAAATTAATTGATGGACATTATATCTTAAACACTGGGAGGTAAATCGAGTAATTATTATTGGAGACTCGAATATAATTCGGGAATTAAATTGGGAGTTAATTAATAATACTTCTTCAGTGAAATGACTGTATTATTCCTATTTGGGTTTGGTAGGCTTGGCTTATAGTCTAATCCAAATAGAAGAAACCCAATTTACACTTCTTTAGGGTTCCTGTTATAGCCTATAAATACATCACATCTCTTGGGATTAGGAGACTAAGGATAGAGAACAGATATTACACGCGAGATGCAGAAAGGCGTTGCCCCATCTGTGCTCTCTTCTCTCTCTTGTGTTCTCTTCTTCTTCTCCAAGTAATCCCAGTAGAGATAGATCCGATTTCATCGCCCACCAAGATGATCGGATTAGATGTCGGGTCATACAACAGAAAAATCTGAGGTTGTCGAGCGATCTATATATATTTATCCAACCCCGTAATATATATATATATATATATTCATCCCTGTAATTTATCTGTAATTCGCGGGGTTGTCCGTTCTACATGAAAAAGACAGATCTGTACAAATAAGATATATTGAAGTGATCGGCGTCCTCCGGCGACCGTACCATGATGACTGGCGTAATTCCGGCGACCAGGCGCCGCCGGCTGCCGCCGTACTTGACCCGCACGCGCCACGCGCCACCGCAGTCCGCCAGGGTATTCCACGCGCGCAGCCAGTCTAGCAACGTGCTATCGGCCCAACGCGTGTGTGCAACGCCAGCCCAGCGATGGAGAAGCAGCCCAGATCCGCTTCTGAGCAGCCCAGTCCACGTGGAGGCCCAAGTTGCGAAGTGAAGACGGCCCAAACGCGGAAGTGGCCCAGCAGAATGGAAAAGAGCGCACTCCCTCACAAGCTGAAGCCCGCGCGGCCCTCGAGGCCCATCCTCAGCCCGCGTCCGTTTCAGCTGCTGCAGGCCCAAGTGCACGGCCCAAATGCTCCGTCTCCGGCCCAGCTCGCGATCTAGAAGCCCAACGAGTTCCCAGAAGCGGCCCAGTGCGCGGACAGCCTTCTAGATCGGCCCAGCTCGGCCCAAGGGCGGTCCAAGAGTGTTCCAGCGGGTTCAAGGAGTTCCAGTGAGTTCGCGATATGTCCGGGATGATCCAAAATGATTGTACAACGATCTAATGAGTCCGAAAAATTTATAACGGTACGCTTTGAACCCTCACTTCTAGTTCCGCTGCGCATAGGGTTTAATTCGTAGATAATCCATGACTTGCATATTATCGTGATCCTCACAGATCCCAACAAGTGGTATCAGATCACTTGGTTTAATTCGATTTTGTGCAATGTTCGGATTTTAGGGGCTTATGTGAATTACGTATGTTCAAGCGCAGCCATTTTTGTGGAATATTATTGCAAAACTCGGTTTTGCAAGATAATGTGTTTCCATTGTTATGGCCTTAAATGTGTGCTTGTTTGTTTATTACACGTTTTTAAAGCCTCGTACATGTCGAGGAATTTTTGGGTTGTGAATGTTTGTAAATTCGCCCGGTGGGTCACTGGATAGATTTAAATATTTTTGTAGACGAACATGTAAACCCATCTGTGGGTCTAGGATCGAAATATGTAATGTTATGAATTATATTTTGATCGTGTTGATGGCGGATGAACCCGGACGACCATGGCGACCGGAGATCAAGACCACGGACCTCGACGACCCGATTGACCGCGGACCACCGCGAGATCACGGTCGGCCGCACGAGTATGCATGAAACACGGTGGCTCGGCTGCTAGGTGTCCCAGGTGCATGACTCACGGCAGCCGAAGGACGATGATCAGTCGTGGGGAGCAGGCGGGGTGATCGGAAGAGCCCGAACGTGGCGGCACAAGGTGCAGTGAACAGGTGTTGTGAGGTGCACGGCAGAACACGACGATCACTGGCACAAGGTGCTGCAGGGAGACGCTCGTGGTTGTGCTGATGACATCTTGACGGCAACTCGGCTGGAACCAACGTTTTCCGGCAACCAGTTGACTTGGACAAAAAGTCTCCTGGAGTGTGAATTCTAGTCTGATAAGGAAAATTCAGTTCCAATAGGACATGGACTGAATAAGTTCCTAATTCAGCTAGAGCTTGAATTAATGGCCATAATAGTGGGATTTATTTCTTGATTATTATTATTGCTATTAATTGCTATGCATGTTTAATTAATTGCTTTGGGGCATGTGATTAATTATAAGAATTGCATAAGTAAAATCTCAATTAAAGATTATACTAAGTTTGAGGAGGATATTTAAAATTAAGCTAATTTTAAATTCCTAAGCCCTCCATTTCTGATTTATTGGTAAATCAATTAATTGAAGTATGGGCTCCCCCTCGGTTGACATCACTGAAATTAATTGTAGAAAATTACCAGAACAAATTTCTAAATGGACGATTACATTTGTTGGTAAATCAATTAATTAAAGTATGGGCTCCCCCTCGAGTGACATCATTGAAATTAATTGTAGAAAATTATCAGAACAAATTTCCAATTTCTGATTTGTTGGTGAATCAATTAATTGAAGTATGGACTCCCCTTCGGGTGACATCACTAAAATTAATTGTAGGAAATTACCAGAACAAAGTTAGAATTGAATAATTGTAGAAAATCTTATGAGAGCGTGCGGGCTTCGCCTCGTATGACGTACAATCAAATTTGATGACCTTAGGATCGAGAAATGGGTTTTACTTAGAATGCGATAAATTTCATAACTCCTCTCGGAGTCCCTAATTTTTTTTGCATGGCCAAAAGGAGACTCACTATTAATTTCGTTTGCCATGAATTGGGTTTTGGCTTATGAAAATTAATGGGTTCTTGAAAAACCCTTCTCTGGCGAATGTTGAGTACGTAGGGTTACCCTCGTATCATGCGTTACTCACGGTGTTTTGAGATGTCAGTGAATTTAAGTTAATGTTGTTTTGAGGATATCAACGTTAATAGTTAAATTCAAAACGTTTAATTAGTAAAAATATTTCGTGGTTCTCTAGTTTTTCAAACATGCCTTTCAATCTATTGTCCTTTATTCTCAAAGATAATTTACTGTTCGAAATTGATTATAAATAGAACTTGGATAGTGTCTTAAGTTGCTGGGAAGTACGAGCCGTAGGGTGAGTGTATCTGGTAAGCATAAGGACATAGGAAGGCGAACTAACCTATCCTTAAAACAATAAAGATAAATCTTGTTCACTCGGAAGTATGGGAAATCGAATCGATTAAGTGATAGGTAGATTATCATCTAGAATGGGCAATGCTATGGAAGTGGCAGTTATTGCAGTGGTAGTTTTCTATATATAGAATTGTTTGGTTTTGAGTAATTATCTTCGCGTACCAAGTTTTATAAAGAATTCAGTTTCAGTTTCTAAATTGTGTATGAATATAGTCATTTTGTTTGATGGTAATTTTGCTATCTAGAAAATGAAACATTTATTCATTTGGTACGTGGGTAGATAATAGTTGACTTAAGCAACCAAAAGGTCTCACAGTGCAATAAATGGAAATAAGTGACACGTCGACTAAAACCAATTAGAGACATGTTCTTTTGGGCACATTGGTTAAGTCTTTGATGAGTTACTAAGAATTTTCAATTTTCCGTTTTTGGAGTTATGCAGATAATGGCATAGGTTCCGAACAAAGTTT